CCACACAGAAGACACGCCCTAAGTGGAAGCAATTCCGCGTTTCCAATGATAAGTGTGGCAGATGCCTAGTTTTAGTCTCCTTTCCCTTCCCCACCTTTATAAGGAAGGGATGGAAAAGGGAAGTATATACAAAGGGGAAATATCATATTACTGTCCTCTCCTCCGTCGACTAAAAGAATAAGTATTTTTTTGTGACTCGTAAAGTTAAATGACAATAACTTAGCAGCATGTTTCATTATTTTGGTGCATCAACCTAACTGATGTATTGTTTGCGTGCAGTACGCAGCCGATGCGCGTGTTCTCGACGCACTCGGTGCGGGAGTACGACCGCCGCAACGAGGACGTGGACCCCGTGGCCGCCTCCGCGGAGTACGAGCTGGAGAAGCGCGTCGAGAAGATGCACGTCTTCCCGGTAGACCTCGTCAAAGGAAACGACGGACTTGGACTCTCTATTATAGGTAATTGTCTGATATCTAAAATAAAAACACTATGTGGTATTGGAGTAATTTTTAAAATGATTCTCATAGTAGAAAACTAACTAGTAAATAATTGAACGGAAGGGAAGAAGAATGATGGACAAAAAAAAGGTAACTGGTAAGCAAATGATGTTTAGAAGCGGTCCTGTCAAGATGAAAATATTTGTATATCGTAAAAAATAATATTTATGATTAAAAATTGCTTTCAAATATGTATTTTTTTTACCAAAATACATCGATCTATGTCAGGTATGGGCGTGGGCGCGGACGCGGGTCTAGAGAAGCTGGGCATCTTCGTGAAGACCATCACTGAGAGCGGTGCGGCAGCGCGCGACGGACGCATACAAGTCAACGACCAGATCATCGAAGTCGACGGCAAGAGCCTGGTCAGTACACAAAGTGCATTCATTGTCTTTGAATAGCTGCCTGGGTTTTTTTATTGTTTTTTTTCTATATTATTAGGTGGCAAACGAATTCTCCGAATTAGCGAAGCGTCCATTGCCCATAGATATCCGCAATTGTATATGAGTGGCCCACTTTCAATCTACGGAGAAGGAAATAATCAGGAAGAAATTATTTCTCCTTCCTGTACATCCCATTCTCTGTCAAATCCACCTCCCCTTTCCTCACAAGAAAATGGTGGAAAGGGAAGAGGACTAAAATTAGGCCTTCGGCACCCAAATCGTTTATTTACTGGTTTAGAGAAAATAATGGCATTGTAATTAAATTTATATGTGTTTTAAGGTCGGTGTAACGCAAGCGTATGCGGCGTCAGTACTGCGCAATACATCGGGGCCGGTCAAGTTTCTCATCGGCCGCGAGAAAGACCCGGAGAATAGTGAAGTGGCGCATCTCATTCGACAATCACTGGCCGCCGATAAAGAGAGAGAAGAAAGGTCAGAAGAAAGACTACATTTTTAATAACAAACTTGTGTCATTGATATGACTGGTAAGATAAGTAACTATGATGTGAAATGTTTTTTTAGAGCGGCAAGAGAGCGGCAGCGCCGGCAGCAGGCGGAGGAGGAAGACAGCAACCAGCAGTCGTCAGCCGAGGCGGCCGTCGCGCAAGCACGCCACCCCGAAATCAACGAACTGCGCGCCTTTTTGCAAGAGGTAAACTGTAGAATAATTATCTACAACTATTTATGTTTGACTTTTTCTGTTTTATTTTATTGTGAAAATATAATAATAATATGACTTATCTAGCTGGTGGGTATGGAGGCTGGCGGTGGTCGCGGGGAGGAAATCAGTTCGCGCGTGCGTGAGTGGTGCTCGCGTCGCGCACCCCCGCCCCCCTCACAGCACGCGCTCGCCCGCGCCGCTGACGCACACAGAAAATACGATAAGGTATTTATTGAAACTATTAAAATATGAAAGAGCATCGCTTAATGGCATGTTCTACTTATATATGAAGTAAATAAATTGAACATGTAATGCTTTGTTATCGTAATGTTTTGTTGAAGTTATACACAATGCCTGAATAAAACATTTTATTTAAAATGTGTGGTACAAGAAATGTAAATTACATGGTGTGCAGGCGCGCCGTGCGTTGCGCGGGTGGCGACGTACGCGGGCGTTGGTGCGCGCGCGCGAGGAGTGGTGGAGCGGCACGCTGCGGGACGCGCACCGCGAGTACGCCACCGCGCTCTCCGCGCTGCACGACCGCGTCGCCAGGCTCGAGGTCTTGCTGCTTGTACGTACATTTACTACTATTTCCATAAAACAAGAGACTGGGACGGGAATGAGGACTAAAATAATGCATTCTCATATAATTTCCTTATTTACTTTATTTAATCAATTCTTATTAGTTTATGTGTTACAATAAGTGAGTGGTATGCCTGTGGGCCTGATATTGCAGGAGACGCAGAAGAAGGCGGGACTACCCGTGATGCTGCCGCACGAGCCGTCCGCGCGCCGCGAGACTCCGCCCCTGCCCCGACGACCGGACCCCGATCCGCTAATGATTGATGGTAAACTTTACACTGTCATACATTCTTTGACACTTCTTGAAATTATTGATGTTCAAATACTTCATACGATACAGTGTGCAAACTATTTGGATATTTTATTTATAGATCCATGGAGTTCGGACAGCGATCTATCAGACTTATCGCCGATAGAGGACGAGTATGCGAAAGTGGACAAGTCTGACAGGCGACAGCGCGAGGCGCCCGACATCGGCGACGTGACTGCACCGGCCACCGTCGCCGACACCCGGCCCCCCGTCCCTTACGACAC